AATAGAGGGTGGGTATGCGGTAAACATAATATATCTTGACATTCAGCAAAAATGGGAGGGGGAGAGGAGCCGGTTGGGGAATTCTGGGAGTTGAAGTCCACCAAGTTTAAAAAGCCGCCATGTTTGGAGACCCCGGGTCTAAAAGACAGGATAATTGTGGAAATTAACCCTAATATAGGTATTTCTAGAATTAGAACTACTCACAGCACTGGGTAAAAAAGTGACTTACAACCAGTCCTCGCACTTACAGCCATTATGATCAAAAATTGGGTGATTAGCAACCCCAGCATATTTACGGCAGAATCTCGGGGTGATGTGACCCTCGTTTGTGACCTTCCCAAGCAGCTTCCGACAAGCAGAGTCAACGGCCGTGAGGGGGGGGGGGAGATTCGCTTAACGGCCACATGATTCACTTAACAACTGAAGGGATTTGCTTAGCAACTGTGCCCCAAAACGGTTGTAAATGTAAGTTGCACTGTTAGCGACGTGATGTCTTCGACTGCGGTCGTAAGCCGGGGACTGCCTGTTCAGTCCGCGTCCTGTGGGTGGGCCCTTCTTAGGGGGCTTCCGTCCCGTTTCGAATGGAATTGGGCCCATTTTTCAGATGGGGAAAACTGAGGCCCGACACGAGAGGCTTCATTTGAGGGCGCAATTCCACCCTCACCGCCTCGTCTCCCTCACGCCCCAAAACCCCGATGCTGAGTCAGTTCTCCTCCCTGGGTGTTTTTTTCCACTCAGCGGAGGATCGAAATCTTTATTTAACTTTCCTCCGCGTTTACTCGGAGCAAGATAAATGGAATTTTTCCGAGGAGGTCGATTTGGCCAAGGTCGTTTCTCGGCCTGGTATATCGACCCAGGGATGAGGTGCCATTTGGTGCCCGCGGCAGGCAAGGGGAGCAGGCTTTAAAGGGGGGGAATTAGCGGGCAGCGTCCTTCAGCCCCGATTTATTTTGCTTTTTTTTTTATATTTATCAAGCAAGGCGGCATCCGGCCGAACAAAGCAGCTGCCTCTCCAAATTAGAAAAATATATTTCATATTTTTTATTTTATTTTGAGGGGTCCAAATGCGGGTATCTGCCTTTTGAAGCATGCTTCTCTTTTTTTCTTTTTTTCTCTCTCTATCTCTTTCTCTATCTGCCTCTCTCTCTCTTTTCTTTTTTTTTCTCTGTCTCTGTCTCTCTCTTTCCCTTTCTCTCCCTTTCCCTTTTCCCTTTTTCTCTCTTTTCTCTTTCCTTCCCTCCCTCTTCCTCTTTCTTTCTGTTTCTCTTTTCCTTTGCTCTTTCTCTCTTTCTCTTTCCCTCTTTTTATCTTTTCTTTCTTTCTCTCTTTCCCTCTATCTCTGTCTCTCTCTTTCTTTTTGTTCTCTGTTTCACTTTCCTTTTCTCTTTCTTTTTATCTTTCTCTGTCTTTCCCCCCCTCTTTTTCTCTGTTTCTCTGTCTCTCATTCTTTCTCTTTTCTCTATCTTTCTCTTTGTCTCTCTCTTTCCCTTTCTCTCCCTTTTCTCTTTCTCTCTCCTCTCCCTCTCTTTTCCTCCTTTTCTTCTGTTTTCCTTTTTCTCTTTCTCTCTTTCCCTTTCTCCTTTCTCTCTCCTTCTCTCTCTTACTCTTTCTGTTTCTCTTTTTATTTCCTCTTTCTTTCTCTTTCTCTCTCTCTCTCTTGCCCTCTGTCTCTCCTTTTCTCCTTCTATTTTTCTGTTTCTGTTTCTCTCTCTCTTTTTTCCTCTTTTTCTTCCTTCCTTTCTCTCTTTCTCCATCCCTCCCTCTCTTTTTCTCTCTGTCCCTCTCTCTCTCTCTCTCTTTCTCTTCCTCCCTCTCTCCCTCTCTCCCTTTCTCTCTTTCCCTTTCTTTCTTTCTTTCTTTCTCTTTCTCTCTTTCTCTCTCGCCCTCTGTCTCTCCTTTTCTCCTTCTCTTTTTCTCTCTGTTTCTGTTTCTCTCTCTTTTTCCTCTTTTTCTTCCTTTCTTTCTCCTCTTTCTTTCTCCATCCCTCCCTCTTTTTCTCTCTGTCCCCCCTCTCTCTTTCTTTCTCTTCCTTCCTCCCTTCCTCTCTCTCTTTCTCTCCCTTTCTTTCTTTCTTTCTTTCTCTTTCTCTCTTTCTCTCTCTCGCCCTCTGTCTCTCCTTTTCTCCTCCTTTTTCTCTCTGTTTCCGTTTCTCTCTCTCTCTTTTCCTCTTTTTCTTCCTTTCTTTCTCCTCTTTTTCTCTCTTTCTCCATCCCTCCCTCTCTCTTTCTCTTTTTCTCTGTCCCTCTTTCTCTCTTTCTTTCTCTTCCTCCCTCCCTCCCTCTCTTTCTCTCCCTTTCTTTCTTCCTTTCTCTCTCTCTCTCTCGCTTTCTCCCTCTCTCTCTCTCTTCCCCCCTCTCTTTCTCTCCCTTTCTTTCTTCCTTTCTCTCTCTCTCTCTCGCTTTCTCCCTCTCTCTCTCTCTTCCCCCCTCTCTTTCTCTCCCTTTCTTTCTTCCTTTCTCTCTCTCTCTCTCGCTTTCTCCCTCTCTCTCTCTCTTCCCCCCTCTCTTTCTCTCCCTTTCTT